GATATAAAATGTTAACATGACCAAAAGACTATAGTCACAGCCCAGGCAACCCGCCCAACGTATTGGATATAAAACATTGAATTTAATCAAAAAGGATTTAGTTGTAGCTGCCTCCGAGAGGGTGGGCGTGTGTGTGGTCGGTTTTGTGCATGTGTATGCGTGTGCGTGTGTGTGTTTGTGTGTATCTGAGCAATGGGTTACAATGGCCCGCCTTGACCTTGCGCCTGAAAAGCAAGAAATTCCGCGTTGCCACGTGCCCAGAACATCGTCTCTCGAATGCTATAAAAATAAAAAAAAAAATACATACTCCCTCCACAGTACAACTAGTAATATGTGGTAGTAAAGGATGTTCATGTCCTAGCATTATTTTTGGCCATAAAAAGAGTGTGTGAGGCGCATTCAATTAAATCATTTGGCTGCAAATGGGTTAATAACAAATGCAAAAGTGATGAGTTGGGCTTTATGTGGATTGGTAAATTGGCTACAGCTGGGAGTTTTATTGATGGTAGTTGAGAGAGATTAATCGTATTACGGCGTAACTCAAGTGTAAGTTGTGAGGCTGGAAATTTCCTAATTGAAGTTAACTGTTAGAGCAACTTTTCTGAGAGAGCTTTGGAAGAGAATCAGATGTTACTATCACAGATAAAGTTAAAGAAGATATTTTATAAATTAATTTTAAGCAGGTTTCGGGTAGTATCTAATATATAAAATGTTTTTGGCTACTTGCTGTTTATTTAAGTGCGTGTTGACCGGAAGCTCATACGTCTAATTGGTAAAGCAGAAGTTAGAAACTAACAATGTAAATTGCTCAATCAACTATGACCTTAATTGACAACAATTTAAGCACGCTACAATCTATTCGTGCATACCTTAACTAAGCCCCGACAATCTTCCAAATATGATTCACTTATCTAATCTAAAGTTACTGCAAAAACAATGCACTCGAGTATATAAACTCGATGCTATAAGAACTGTTGCATGCTTTTAGGCTGGCATTAAAATTCAATGGCAGCCATTTTGAAAGTGTGTAAAAGAGATTTTGCAGCAATTTGCAGCCAATTCATAATTAAGTTATTTTGAAAACAACAACAAAAAGAAAACAGAGTAAATGGTAACAGCATTAACTAAACTTCGAGCGACGGCAGGAAACGTGCATGGGCGCCCGAGCTGAGGGCGCGGCAGCAGACGGCAAAGGGCAGGCAGGCAGGCAAGCAGGCAGGAGTTTAACCAACCAAGCGACAACCAACCAGTTGCCAGTTGAGCTCGACTGCTCTCATCCGTTGCAGAGTTCGTCTGGCCAACCACCACGAGACGTGGCAGTGCGTGCACCAAATTCTGACTACGCCGTTTGCCGTACACCGTACGCCGGACACCCGCAGCCGTAGTCATAGGCAGAGAGACCGTGCCGTGGAATTATATTTCCTATGGGCGGTATTTCGAGGTCCGCCTCTTGCACACACAACTGCCGGCGATTGCTCAGACGTTATAATTTGCAATCACGTTGAGTGCAGCGGCGACGACAGCGACGGCGACGGCAACAGCGACGCCGACGTCTACGTCGACAACGACGAGGACGACTCATTGCCCAAAAAAGGGGGTTGTCCGGTCATGTGCCCTGCTCCTGCTACTGTTTCCGGATCCTTACCCCTGGCTGCTGCCGCCTCGATGCTGCCTGCTGCTGTGGCAAGTGGTTGTTGACTGCCTGATGCTTAGCAAGGTCTTAGCTGTTATTATGCTCATGTGTCACTTTTGCAGTGCTGCCAGGACATATGCGTATGTATGTGTTCTATATACATACATATCTGTATATGTATATGTATGCGTGCACTGTTCATATTTTATTTAACATTTGCCTGCCCTTGTGGATTTCCTGCTCTCGCTATCTCTTTCGAACTTTTGTCGGCTGTATAGTTCTGTCTTTTTCTCAGTCACTCTCTCTCTTTCTCTCTCTCTCTCTCTCTGTGTCTCTTCTCTCAGCATCTCTCAGTTTTTATGGCGTCTACAGACATTTTGCCAAGTTAATCTCCGGTTTGTTTTTCTGATAATGGGTTTGTCAACGCTACTTTGTGAGGTCCTCTATTTGAATACCAGTTCATCTGTCTATCCATGCGTGTGTCTGTCTGTCTGTCTCTGTCTATCACTCTCTCTCTCTCTCCTGGTATCTATCTCTGTACGTGAGTGTGTCTATTTAAATCTGTGTTTGTCTGCATCTGACCTAGCCGCGTACATATTTTATATTTAAATGGCAAGGCCAAAAGGCAACTAACAAATACCCTGTAAAGCAGCTATAAGCTAGGACTAGACCATATCGTCTATAATTTTCCATATACCCAACTCGCACTCATTCACAGAAATGGAGCTATAAGTGCGAGCTTAAAATCGACTAGCATATACCCTGTAAACTACTTCCATGCCATGTTGAGTTCCATTGTAAACGTAATATAATATAAATAATGATAAATAGATTTATATATTTAACTTATTCAATATAAATTTTGAGACTTTCCCTTTCCACCTGGCATCCCATTGCTACACGCTGATCCTCCCTTGTTGTCGTTTGCCTTTTTTGTCGTCGTCGTGTCGCAGCAGCCCAACTCGTTTTGTGGCATTAATATTAAAATGGTGTTGCTTCATTTCAGCCACGCCCACAAATTTAAGCATATACACGCCCCCAAATTAATCAAGCTGCTGTTGAAATTCTGCACTGTCATTTTTCGGGTAGCTGCTGCAGCCCTCGACTCCTGCTCGTGCCCCTTTGCCACCTGCTAGGACGCACAATTTTAGGTGGGCGTTGCTGTGCGTGACTTGAGGCAACAGTGTACAGTGGCCACTGGCACTCGCTGCTGAAACCTCTACCAAACGCTGCCAAGTGTGTATGTGTGTCTGTGTCTTATGTCGAGCTGGCAGCCAAGCCCAAACTGCAGCTGATTTTGACAAGCTCAATTAGAGGCGAGCGCTTAAATGCATTCAGATTTTGGGGCTGAGATTGGATTTGGGGCTTGGCTTCTTGGGGACTTGGTAGTTTTTGCAGCGCATTCAACGATATTAAATTAATTGCACTTTTAAGCAGATTGCAGCGCCGTTAAACAGTTCAGCCAGAGGAGCAAAAGCTGTTGAGCAAAAACAGCAAATGCACTTGAAGAAATTAACTGGGTGATTGATATGATTAAGATATATTCATTTTAGATTTTGGAATCAATTTTAGGTAAGCTTTTATTGTTATAATATAGTTTTATACAGACTTTATTTTTATTTAAAAAATTACTTGCATATTTTCTTCAAGCTAATCATTTCAAAGTAAAGATAAAGTAAATTTATATCAACTTATATATAATAATCTACAATATATAAAGGGTATACAAAAATGTTCAGTTTCCTGCTAAATCTAATTAGCTCTACTCTCCCTTCTCACCAATCGGTTTCTCTAATTTTTGGAGTAATATTAAGATTCCTTTAACTTGCCTCAAGTGCGACTCACTGATCATTTTCGTCGAGTGTGCAGTGCAACGAGCAACAAAGCGAGCATTAATAGCTTTAGCTTATGCAGTTGCCAGCAGCAAACCCAAGCGCAAGCCCAATCCCAATGCCAATCCCAATCCCGATCCCAATCCTTGGCCCACATTGACTTCAATTGCACGCACAGGTGGATAGAGGCAGTATAAAGGTGGTATAGAGAAGGAAATGGGTTGTTTCCAGGATCCACACGTTGCACTCAAGATGATAATCATGTTTACGTGGCGCAAGTTAAATTGCTAGCGTAATGGACTAACAGCAGGTGAGAGCAAGTGGAGATGCAGTAGTTGCTGCTGCTACCGCTGCAGCTGTAGCTGTTGTTGCTGTTGGATCTCAGCTCATGCGTGCCTTCAGCTGTCAGCAACACATTTGGAGTTGCTGCTGCTGCTGCTTGCAAGTGGCCAACGAGGCTGGCAAAAAACGCATTTGTTTGGTAGAAACGGATCGCAGATCCCACGTCCTGCTGCTCCTGTTGTTGCTGTGCGCTTCATTGGACAACTGAATATGCAAATTGAATTGAGCGTATTATCGACGAAGGCAGCGACGCTGCCATCTGCAGGTAAGTTGCCGCCCACCTGCCTCCTGCCTCCCAGGCCAGTCATCAACATCAACATAATCGCTCAAGCCAAGGGATTTGCATGCCATTGTGTAGGTGTGTGCGGGTGTGCGAGTGGGTGTGTGTGTGTGTGTGCGAGCGGGGGCCAGTTAAGATGGCAAATGGTGCACAAAATTAAAATTTTAATGGACAGCAGCTGACGCTTGTTTTGGCTCTACCTCTAGCTCTGGCTTTGGCTTTGGCTTTGGCTCTCACTCTGGCTCTGGCTTTTGGCCCAAACAATGGCTAAGCAACTGCGCTGTGCGCTTCGGCTCGGCGCATTCATAAAGCTGATCAAAAATCATTGCATACACTCAGACGGCACATGAATACGGATGAATACGAAACTTTGCATACTTTTAGCTGCACGTGAATGCGACAGATTTTACCTAGAGAAACTATAGCTTCAATATAACAATACAAACCTTTGAGTAATTTTATGAACATTTGACTCATAGTTTTTGCAATATATCTTTAATTCCAATCAAAGTTAGCTTTTGCTCATTCATCATGAATTACAAAAGCAAAATCTGATGGAATACATATTTTCTTGTTCTGATTTAATTCGATTTATGCTTTAAGCAATTGAGCTTAAGTACAATTTACACATACATACATACTTTGAGGCGGCGGCTAAATGAAAATAAATTTATTTAGCTAATTATATTACGCACGCCCTAGCTCTCACTACTGCTCTCTTTCTCTCTCTCCCACACTCTCTTTCTTTGGCTTTTGCTGTCTCTCTGCTCAATTCTCTTGCTGATTGACGCACGTAAACAATAAGTGCGACAAGTGCCTACGGCGGGGCAGCTGGAAACCTACAAATATATATATTTCCATATATATACCTATACATATATCTGTATCTGTAGCGTCGCATTGCCGCTAAGCAATCCGCTGGCCAGTCAACGCCGAGCGCTGAGCCCGAGCGGCCGCGAGTTTCACTCAACAACAAAAGCAAAAACACATTTTACAAAAATGTTTAAAATTAGCGCTATGTAAAAACGGAAAGCAAAATCAACTTGGAGAATTGCGCCGGCACAGTGGCTGCCGTTAGTCAAGGAATACACACACACAGCACTGCTGACCATGCCCACAACGTCGCCGCCGCCCAATCGACGGCAGCTGCTGCGCAGCGTTGAGAGCTTACGCGGACGCGTTTTTCAAATATTAAATTGTGTTATTAATTTGCACATTGAATTTTTGGTAATTGAAGAGAGCAAAAAAAAAAAAAAAAAAAAATAAAATAAAAATAAAAATGCTTGAAAAGCGCATCAAGTGTAATTCGTGTCACATGTCGAGTGCATAAGTCATGCGAAAGAGACAACGCGCGAGGGCGGGTGAGAGTGTGAGAGATAGAGAGAGAGAGAGAGAGAGAGAGTGTGTGAGTTTATGTCAAATAACATTTGTTGTTGAAAGCTCTCGACAATTGATATGACACAAACCGGCAGACATGTCAACTATTTATTTATATTACTATACCCTACCAAGAGGTATTCTGAATTTGAATTCCATTTCGTAACACATTGAAGTGCATAGATACTATTGTAAGGAAAAACTCTAGTCAGGAGCGTTATATAAAAACATATATTTAGTTTGATTGAAGTGCATAGATTATATACAAGAGGAGTCTCTACGTATATTACTTGTTGATAGAAATGATTAATTTGATAATGCATTGAATACTTTAGATCATATCATACTGTATTTCAATGTAGGTCAAATCAAACCTGATCATATTATAGAACCTTTTTTGTAATTAACGTCAATTGAATTCAGTTGAAAGACAAATACAAGAGGACAGCTGAAATCGCTAAACCTTTCAATCATGCACACAACTTAACATAGGGTATTTGCTGGTCGTTCACTCTTAATCGAAAACAATAACTTGTTTTAATTCACATGTGGCATTCAGTTATCGTAACTCGGCTTTCACTACAGCTTCCAGTTATCAGTTATTAAATGTTATCAGCAGCTGTAAAGTGTCATAAAAGCAAACACCACTAACTCAACACCTTTTACTCCCCTTCCCTCCCCCCCTCTCTCTCTCTCTCTCTCTCTGTCTGTCTGTCCCTCTAGTAATACAGTTCTCCTCGTTACAGCTGCATTCGAATTCAGTTCAATTGTTAACAGTTGCGACACAGATTTCGTACAAGTTAATGCAATTATAGCTGGCCACTGGGTGCAACTAAACACAATATGGAACACACTCTCAGACTCGGTTCGGCTGCTTGTCTAGACAATGGGCAATTATCAAGATGATTCGCATAAATTTTGCAATGCCGGCAAGATCTTAAAATGCCTATTGGCTCATCAAAACTATGAGAAAGAGATTTCATGACGTTAATAATAATGAAATATATTTAGCATATTTCTCATTTGCCTAGCAATCGTCACCATCTGACCCACTGTAAGTGGCCGTGATAGGGGGCGTGGCCGTTGGCTGACATGCATTTTGACATGGAGCTTAGTTTGCGTGGTTCAGAGCATTTGCTAATTGGCAGCTAATAGTTGAAAGGCGAATAGTAGCAGGTGGCAAATGCATAGATTTTAGCTAACTGAACCCCGAGCTGTCAACGGTGAATGCATATGCCAGAGTCATACCGTGTAATTAATTTAAATGGGTTAGTGTGAGTACGATGAGGGATGTTGGGGTAGAATAAAACCAAGTTGAGGTACCTTTAAATAATCAGAGATTATTTATACTGCAATTGCTGTTGTCAATCATATTATTATTATCATTATTATCAATATTATTTTTATTTTAATCATCAACACTTCTAAAGACTGTGATTGTTATGAAATCTTATATAATTCTACAATCCTCATCATCACTATCTTTGTCAATAATATCAGTCATATAATTGTCTTCAATATTTACGTTATATTCAATATTATTTTTATTTTAATCATCCTTATCATTAGTAGGAATTCTTATATAATGCCACAATGCTATCAGCATTACTATAATTATTACTATTATTGTCATTATTATTATTATTATCATTGAAAGCATTTCAATATGAATATTCTCAAGTCGCAGTCTTAAAGGCCTTAAAAAGCAATTCGAAAAGTAAACACAGAATTGAGGGACAGCCCCATTTAGAGGCCATCTACTCGTCGATCATGCTTATCTATCTGGCTCTTACCTATTTAAGGCCTCCAGCGCGGGGCTATCAAAGAGCGTAACGGTGTTATTTGATACCGTGCCAGGCGTCGCGCTTCTCGCGTCTCGCACCTTGTCGCAAATCGAGCAAACTAAGCGATTTAAGTTTTAATCTAATTTTCAATCGCACCTCTTGCGGGTGGTTTTGCAGGTGCTCGAATCGAATGTGGCCGCATTGCTGGATGAGGTGAGATGCCTGAACGATGACTACGCCGAGGTGCAGCGCTTGGATCAGCTGATCGAGGCGCTGCGGGACTACGGTGGACCCACCATATGCCATGAGTGGCCATATCCTTTGATTTTTAAGGGCACAATCGACGAGGCACACGTCGCACAAATACTCAACACAACGGAACTAGTTCCGGAGCCATCGCCAACAACAGTCAGTGCCAAGGATGAGCTGTTAAAGCAGACTGAAGCGAGCGAGCTGGCTGGCCTAAGCAGACGTTCAAAACTGTGGCGGTTCACGCGAACTAGATCAGCGGCGCGAAAAACAGAAGAAGCTAGTCCAAGCTGATAAACATTTGCGAGCTACTAATGGAGTCGGAGGTCGACACAATAATCGAAATCATGACAGTCGACTATAACTAGATCAGCTCCTAGAATAGAATTATTAACTAGTCTCAGCTGATTGAGAGGTTTGTCTCTCGTATTTACATAAGTCTGTTTAGTTTACTTTCCCTATAGTCTATGTGAAGGAATACCAAAAAATATATGTTTATGCTTAAGCGATAAATGTCAAGCTAATGTGTTGGCGGTTTTTGCTGCTGTTCGTCTAATTGACTGCGGTCAATCGAGGCATCGACCAGGGGCGGGTCTTTCCCTCCCCATCTACCCACGTGGTGCATAACCGCAGGCGTCTCATTCAAGATTTTTGCGGCGCCGACAGAAGCAGGCATTGCTTTTGACATGAGAATGTGGCTTCAATTGAGACACAGCCTGTTTACACAAAGAAAACATAGCCGCAATCTCCACACCTCCTCATTGAAGCAGAGAACCGCAACAGGTTGCCGCATCTAATTAAAATGACCTCCGTTGTTAACGGAGTTGTATCTGTGTATATGCGAATGCGAAAGTTAAATCAGAAAGCAACCACACCTGTAATACCCTAGCAAAGAGTATACTCATATCAGAGTAAGGCAAATGCTCTAAATTGATTACATCTTTCTATAAATTTATCGTATCAACACGCCATAGGCATATCTACGATATCTTAATTCTCTTAATTGCATACAGAGTATTATATTTCAGTATGTTAAGTTAATCAAACCACATATTGACAGGTTTTACTATACCTTATAATCATGGGCTTACAAACCCATATTTATTTTCTCTAAAATATTAAATTACTTCCAAGGTAACCGATCTATAACTATATAGAATTTGGTACAATTTCCTTTGAACATTAATATTTACAGTCAAATACCGATATTGTTCAGCGATCAGTCAATTATGATATATAATCCCATTACATTTATTTGATTATACAAGAGAAATTTATTTTATTTACTTATTGCTAAACGATAAGTTTTATGGAGTAGTTCAGCTGCTTATAAGTCGTTGATTACATTCGAGTGAACAACTAAATTCTGGAATCCTGCACAGATGAACCAGTGAACAAAATGAACTAGTTCACGATTTAAGTTCAGGATCTCCCTTAAATAAATATGTTCATATATCCATATTTATATACAGGAATATGCTAGTCATAGGGTATTCCATAGCTGTTCATTATTTTGCATTTATTAAATTTGTTATTGTTTTTGGTCTGGTTACTTTTGTAGTCGCATTATTAATTATACATAAGCCCAGAGAGAAGTAAAACAATAATAAAGCGCTTCTACATAGTTGTGTATGTGTGTGTGTGTGCGTGTAAATGCTTTTGTTTGCTGTAAATTATTCATAACGGTATTATCAGCTTTTCTGCGCGCTGCCTGGTTGATTAAATTGCTCGGCCAGCGCTGAGGGCCAAGGAAGAACAGCGAAAAGCTAATGATGCCACACAAACACAGATGTGTGTGTGTGTGTGTATAAATAACATACACACTCATACATAGTAGTCCCTCGCTCTCTCCCTCTCTATCTATCTCTGTTTACCACGCAATTTTTCTGCACAATTTATCAACTCTTTTCTACTATGCGATTGTGTCTCTCTGTGTGTGTGTTGTGTCTGTGTGTGAGCTTGGTCAGGGACAATTGCAGTAGCGCGCCATAATTATTTAAAAAAAAAAAAAAAAAAAAGAAAGAAAAAGCAACAGAAACAAAAACAACAACAACAGCAGAAACAATTGAGATAATGAGCGCGTGCAGAGTAAAGCAAAAAGCGAAAGTGAAAATATCGCCAAGGTTGACAGACGAGTGCAGGAGGGGGGAGTTGTGCGCGCACGGGGTCAAAGGCTGAAGCCGCGCTGCAGTCTTTATCTGTGGCGCAGGGCAGCAACGACAATTTAACCAAGCTTTTGAAACATGCAAAAGTCTGAAAAATTAATGGCCCAAAAGGATGTCAACAACAGGAGCTTCGGTTAACCCCGTGGCGGGCGGCAGGGGTGGCGTAGGTCTAAAGAACGTGGCCTATCAATGACAATGGCATTAAATAAACCGACGACGCAATGCAATGGCCAACAATTTGCAAAAGTTTATGCAACTTTTGCAACTTTAAACTTGAAAATAAAAATTGTTGCGCAACACTCGAGCAATGCGGCAGAAAAGAAAACTCAAAGTGCAACTGGTGGTAAGTGCCAAAGGAAGAGCAAGCGGAAGGAGAAAGCTGGCAAATTTTACAAACTTGGAATTAGCTGAAAATGAACTGACTTGTGTGTGGCTATTATTAGAACTAGTTCATATATTGGACTCGGAGAAGAAGGCTTATACATAGATTCCTGATCAATATGAACCACTTTCTTTGTCTCTCTCGGTTCCTCTCTCTCTTTCTCTCACTCTAACCTTTTCTCTCTATCTCTCTCTCTATCAATATCACTCTCTATTTCTCCATCATTCTCGCTCTATTTATTCTCTTTCTTATTCTCTGCCTCTCCGTTTAAGTAATTCATTATCTTTCTCTCTTTGTTATGATCTTACTTTCTCTTTCTATCTTTGTCTCTTCTCTCTCACTCCGTCTCTTTCTTTGCAAGTTATCCTTCCACAAAAAGCGCATGCAATTATTTTCTACAACGTTCCGTTCTACATTGTTCCGCTTACTCAATTACCGTTATATCATTAAGAAATCCTTGTACTTGCTTTGCACTTGTTGCTGTCCTCGTCTAGTTCATTGAACGCAGGCAACAATAACAATTATCGTGATGGGCCTTAAACTTGGCTAACTGCCTGTTTGCCTCATCCGCTGCCCACGCTCCCACTCCCACACGCACACCCACACAATCACACACGCGCTCACCCACACTTTCACACACTCGCCTGGCTGCCTTGGTTGCCAATCAACAGCCGAGTTATTGAACCCTTTGGAGCAACTGCAATTAACAGCCCAGACATTGAGGCAGCTCCTGTTGCTGTTTTTCGACTAGCTGTGCTTCAGCTAGTTGAAGGAAAATATTTTCGCCAACGCACGCACATTCCAGTCAAGTTTCTTCTTTTTTTTTGCTTTATGTCCTTTTTTTTATGACAACAATCAAATTCGAATTGTTGCTGTGTCTTCGATTTCGCAACGCTCACCCCGCCTCCCTCTCGCACGCATTTCTTTACTAGCACAGATTAACGGGCCTGTCCATGCAGCTGCTCTCTTCTTATGTGTCGACTTGCCTGCGCTGTGGTGCGTGCTAATTGTTGAGTACCTCCAACTTGACGAATGCATATGCGACTGTCTCTGTCTCACTCTAGCATGTGCGCTGCGTTTGTCATTTAGCTATTGCATATGCAAAAGGCTGGCGAAAAAGGGCAAAGAAAAAGAATGGCAGCAGCAGCAGCAGCGGCAGCAACAGCAGCCAGTGCTGCCAGACAGGCAAACTGGCACGTGAATCCATTATGCTGGCAGCCAATTATGTGCGTGTCTTTCCACTCAAAGCTCTTTCGCAGTCAGTGTTGCTGAATTAGCCTATTTCAGGCTAGATTTAGCCTCGAGAGAACTATAGAACAGAAGAAACTCCTGTCTCTCCAGTCTTTCTGCCAAACGAAGAAGACCTACACACGATCATTTACGTTGTCTATATATATGAAACTGTACTCATTTGGTGTTTTAAGTAAACCGAAGCTAGAATGAGAGAGTGTTCCCATTCGTCACTTAATGATCGACTGCAACGACCTCTACCTGGCGTCGGGCTCAACAATTGCCCTATATAAAGGGCAGCAGCTGAAGCATTTCTTCAGTCTCTCAGGCCTGTTGGGGGTCAGTCGTGGAGTGCAGTAAAGTGAAGTTAAGTGGGTGTTGATATTTAATGATCGTTCAGCTCAGCAGTAAAGACTTAGAGGAAATACTTGGAGCAATTAATTAAAGGAAATATTTGGAGGAAATATTTAGAGCAGATATTTAGAGAAAATACTTGGAAGAAATACCTAGAAAAAGTAATCAGAGAAAATACTTAACGGAAACACTTAAGGGACAAAACTTTATAGAAAATTCTAGCCTATATGTTACTTGTGTCTCTTACAAATGAACCCATAAATCTTGGCCTGTTTTAGCCAACTTTTAACCAGAATCCAACTTATTTCTTAGCTCAACAGCTGCCAACACTGTTCGCAGTGGGTCGTCGCTGGGTGTTGCCATACGCAATTCTAACTGTTTTCATCAGCAACAGTCATACTACCAACAACAACATCAACAACAACAACATCAACAAGGAGTATAGCAGCTACAGCGAAAGCCTGCAAATATGTTTTTAATGCAAACGACTTTGGCTTTTCACGCACGGCCAAGGTGAACGCTGAGCGCGCTTGGTTAAAGTTAATGGCAAAGTTAATAAAACTACTTAAAGTCGAAAATGTTGATAATCTTTTAATGGCTGTTATGATTGAAAATATGCATATGACAGATAAATTGAATTTGATTTAACATAATTTACTTTAATGCAGATTTAGTGGTCTCACATGTAGAGTAGATGTATATATATATATATTTGATATATTACCTTGAACAGTATCCAAAGATAAATCGATTTTGCAATATTATATATATAGACTGAACAAGTGTAGTTCTATATGATTAATTTAATAATAATTATTATTTTTAGTCAATTATGAACTATAAAAATACTATAAAAGGCAGTTCCATGTTAAGAAAGTAGCTTGATGAATATCTTAGTTAATTAATTTAATTTAAATCTTTATTATCACATCTCAATATATCTTGACATACCCGCGTTAAGACAAGCTCTTCGCTAGATATCGATAGACCTCATAGAACCTGTTGTAGCGCCCAATGAAAATGCAAGCAGCTGAAGGTAATGTTTTGGTATGTTTAGAAGCCAGAAGTAAAAGCGGATGTCAGTTGAACCTAATATACGAATGACTGTCTCTCTGGCCGTTTGTCGCTTTGACTGCCGCCCTAAAAGCGCTTTAAATAAACAAACTAATAGCGAAAATCACGAAGCAATAGGCATGGTAATAGCTTAGTGGTATAGTAAGAGCGAGCGAGAGAGCGCGGCATAGAGGGAAAGAGACAGAGAGCGACCGAGCGACCTGTCTGCTACTGTCTTCTGCAGGTCTATGGCAACCGGGGCCAACAATTTGCTACGTGTGTGTGTGTATAACCCGAATAAACAAACTAATAAAACATGCCCATGCCCTTTGGTAGACCA